GGAAAAAGGAACAAGCAAGGGGTGGGCTATTGGACATATTGGATTGTGTAAGGTAGAGTAAAAAAACAAACAAACACACAAACGATTATAGGAACATGGGGCCTTTCCATTTCCTTGAACTGCAAAGGTGCCAAAGGTTCACTGGCCCACATGTCAGCCATATCTCCTATATTTCCTGCCAGAGCGGGGAGGCAAAGGCTAAGGCCAGACTTAAGTGGACTTACAAATGTTAATACACTGTCTCCATGTACCTGTAACCATTTGAATTTGTGAGGGGTACAAACAGTCAACAAGCCTGTCTGCTAACCAAAAGGTTAGTGTTTATAGCCCACCTAGTCACGCCTTGAAAGAAAGTCCTGTTTGTCTCTTTCTGAAAAGAAAAAAAAAGGTAATTTTTACAGCCACACAATATTCTCTTGTTCTGTTCACCCAATTGCATCTTGACCTATGTACAGATACTGCGTGAACACAATGAAATTGTATGGAATCCCCATTCTTCTCAAGTTTGTTATGGTCCACACAGTTGAATTCCTTAGCATAGTCAATAAATCCCAAGTAAACATCTTTCTGGTATTCCCTGCTTTCAGACAAGATCCATATGCCATCAGCAATGATGGGCCTTGTTTCACATCTTCTTTTGAATCTGGCCTGAACTTTGGCAGTTCCCTATCAATGCACTGCTGCAACCATTGTTGGATGAGGTTCAGCAAAATTTTACTTGCACTTGATATTAATTAACTTAATTAATTAATAGTTTATGCATTCTGTTGGGTCATCTATCTTTGGAATGGGTAAAAATAGGAATACCTTCCAGTCAGTTGATCAAGCAGCGGCCTTCCAAATTTCCTGGCATAGACCAGTGAATGCTTCCTGTGCTTCATCAGCTAGTTAAAATACTTCAGTTGGTATTCCATCAATTCTTTGAGTCTTGTTTTTAACTAATGCTTTCAGTGTAGCTTGAACTTCTTCCTTTAGTGCCTTTGGTACTTGCTCACATACTACCTCTTGAAATGGTTAAATGTCAATTAATTCGTTTTGTTAAAGTGACTGTGAATTCTTTCCATCTTCTTTTGATGTGTCTTGCAGCATTACATATTTTACCCATGGAATCTTTAAGCATTGCAACCTGAGGCTTGAATTTTTTGTTTAGCTCTTCCCGTTTGTTTTTCAAAATTTTTGGTCTTTGCACATTTCATTATCATATTTTACTTTGTCTTTTCAAATTTCCCTTTTGAAATTTCTGTCCAGATCTTTGACTTCATCTTTTCTTCCATTTGCCTTAGCTCCTCTATAATTAACAGCAACTTTCAGTGTCTCTTCACAAATCTACTTTGAACTTTTACTTCTTTCCTGTCTTTTTTTTTAATCATTTAATTAGGGGCTCATACAACTCTTATCACAATCCATACATACATCAATTGTGTAAAGTACATTTGTACATTCATTGCCCTCATCAAACTGTCAGTCTTTCAATTAGCAGCCAGGCAATTTCATGGTTTTCGCCATCTAAACACACCATTCGCCTACTTCCTGTTTGTTTTTCTTTTCCAATTATTTATTTATTTTTGTTTTAAACATTTTATTAGGGGCTCATACAACTGTTATCACAATCCATACACACATCAATTGTGTAAAGCACATTGGTACATCATTCTCAAAACATTTTCTCTCCACTTAAACCCCCGACATTAGGTCCTCATTTTTCCCCTCCCTCCCCACTCCCCCTCCCTCATGTGCCCTTGATAGTTTATAAATTGGTATTTTGTCATATCTTGCCCTGTCCGATGTCTCCCTTCACCCACTTTTCGGTTGTCTGTCCCCCAGGGAGGAGGTCACATATAGTTCCTTGTAATCGGTTCCCTCTTTCCTACCCATTTCCTGTCTTTTTAATGACTTATGTCATTTCACAGTTCATCTGGACTTCTGTCATAAGTGCTTAATGTATCAAGTCTGTTCTTGAGATGGTCTCGAAATTCAGCTGGGATATACTCAAGGTCATATTTTGGCTCTCATGGACTTGCGTTAATTTGTTTCAACTTCTATCTGAACTTACATATGAACAATTGGTGGTCTGTTTCATGGTCAGTACTTGGCCTCATTTTAGTTGCCGGTATTAAGCTTCTCCATTGACTCTTCTCACAGATGTTGTCAATTTGCTTTCTGTATATCCCATCTGGGGAAGTTGGTGAGTTGTTGACAAAAAGCATTTGCAATGAAGAAGTCGTTGGTCTTACAACATTCTGTCATGTGATCTCCAGCGTCATTTCTGTCACCAAGACCATATTTCAAGCTACCATTTCTTTCTCTTTGTTTTCAACTTTTTTATTCCAGCGTACCTTGATTGCATGTTTGATAAATTTCAGACTGAAGACATTGGTAGAATTCCTTAATTTCATCATCACTACCTTTACTGTTTGGTGCATAAATTTGAATAATAGTTGATTGATTGGTTTTCCTTGTACATGGATAGACAGAACCTTATCACAGACAGCACTGTAGTTGAAAACAGATCTTGAAATGTCCTTTTTAATGATGAATGCAATGCCATTTCTCTTGAATCTGCCATTCTTGGCATAGCAAATCATATGATCTTCTGATTCAAAATGGCCAATACCAGTCTATTTCAGCTAAAATCTAGGATGTATATCTTTATGTATTTCATTTCAATTTTGAAATGATAAGCTGACAGACAAGTGGTAGTCAATTGAGTAGGTCTAGATTTTTTAAGGTGTTTTTCAAGAATGGAAATTCATGACAACCCCATACAGGATAGAAAAACCATTATCTGGTCCAGCTTCTTGTTGTTTGTATACTTGAATCCACTGTTGCAGTCACTGTGTATTTTGAGTGTCTTCCAAACTAGTGGCTCATCTCCTAGCACTGTATTGAATGATGATTTGTTGTGACCTGCAAGGCTTTTTATTGCTGATTTCTAAAAGAATATATCAGATCTTTCATCCTGATCTGTTTTAGTCCAAGCACAGACTGCTGAGGCTCCCCAAATCCAATAAATGTGATTGGACTGAAGGGCTGATTAACAGACTAGAGACCCCCACTAGTCATCTTCCTGCCCTCTGTTGATATGCATCTGGTGCCTTCCTTCTTCCATGACTGGATAAGGATGCTCAGGATTGTTCAAACAAGCAATGGTATGAAGTTAAATGTACATCAAAGTCAAGATATGGTCAACATGTCCAACAACCCAACTCTGTATGTCTTCTGTTTATCCTTCAGATCTTTGCTCTGTGTGCTCAACCCTATTCTGATACCTAGGCTTGACTGCTATTTGGTTAGACAGAGGTATTATTTATATTTTTGAGTAGGAGTAGCACTGAGAATATTCATCCCCAAAGTTCCTTCCTTCTCTCTGAAGGCTTAACTTCTGCCACAGCTCTGTCCCTCTAGCCACTCTCTTTTTTTGCTTATTTTCCAGGCTCATAGGCTCCTTGTCTTTGGGCCACAGGTACGAGTCTCAACATGACAGATTTTTTTCTTAGTGTTCCTACAACCTATGCAGTCTTTGATAAATAATCCCTA